TATAAGACTTTGGCATACAAATATTTGGTCAGTACATGCCAGTCTCTAGACACAAGTATACAACTTACTGCACTGACTTATGTGAGAGGAGACTGTTGAAAGCACAGTCCTCTTCTCGTTACGTGGTTGTCTCCTGACAGTTTCCTTGCTTAGTAGTTGAACCCTTAATTTTAGAAGATGTAATATATTCAAGACTTTGTTTGCGCTAAAACCCATGGCCACAAATAGTAAGTGGACAAATAAATAATAATGGTTGTAGCTGAGAGAGAGACTGCTTGTGAAAGTGGACTATTTAAATTACAGATCCAGGCATACGTGTATTGTGGATGACAGGGATGCTACCCTGAAAATTAGAACGTGAATCAACTTGCTCCTCCTCTCTGAATGCTGAACAGGATTGACTCTGCTAATCTGCTTTGTATTCCTGTGTTTCATAGAATCATAGAATAGTTTGGGTTGGAAGGGACCTTTAAAGGTCATCTAGTCCAACCTCCCTGCAATGAGCAGGGACATCTTCAACTAGATCAGGTTGCTCAGAGCCCCGTCAAGCCTGACCTTGAATCTACCACCTCTCTGGGCAACCTGTTCCAGTGTTTCACCACCCTCATTGTAAAAAATTTCTTCCTTATATCTAGTCTGAATCTACCCGGTTTTAGTTTAAAACCATTACCCCTTGTCCTATCGCAACAGGGGCCCTACTAAAGTCTGTCCCCATCTTTCTTACAAGCCCCATTTAAGTAATGAAATGCCACAATCGGGTCTCCCTGGAGCCTCTTCTCCAGGCTGAATAACCCCAGCTCTCAGCCTTTCCTCATAGGAGAGGTGTTCCATCCCTCTGAACATCAAAAGGGGATAGTGATGGTGTTCTTTGGGTTCCTTCGTGGAAGAGCTTTCCATATCTTAGAGGTAAAGTTAGTGACATTCACAAATTTCACAGTTGCTCTCTGTATTATTTGTTTCTGAACCGAAATGAACTGTGGTCACTGAGGATCAGCGCAAAATTGTTACCTAGAGAATTTTTTTAGTAGCAGCACATTTAGGTTTGTAACTGTACCAGAAATATTTGTGTCACAAACAAAAATTTCCCTTTACTAAAACGAGTGTAGAGAGGCCAACAGTTTATCACATTGCACTGCAGGAGTCCCTGGTTTGGTAGGGGCTGCAAGCACCAGGTATTCCTGCTTTGCTCTGAAGTGATGCCCCTTGTCTGCACCCCGAGGTGCACCTTTTTTTCCACCTAGAAATTCTGTCCAGGTTCTAATTGAAAAACTGAAATGTCAGCCTTAAAATGAGAAGTGGCAGCCACATTTTAAATGGTTTTTAGGTACTTACAGCCTCAAATAGCTGCCTACTAAGATTTCTAAGAATACTTTTGTGCTTAACCCCTGTTACTTTTAGCAACCTAAGAATTTTGTTTAAAGTCTGTATCTTTGGGAACCTTTTGAAGTTAAGTAAGGGTAAATCTGAAGGAACAGCGGAATGTGAAATGGGACAAAATTCTAATTTGAAAACTTTGTTCTTAAACCTTTTTTGAGATTTGTCTATATACCTGCCCTTACACTTCCAATTGATGTAATATGAAATAAGCCTGTATTGTGCAAAATACTCAGAAATGTTCCATTCATTTTTGCCGCAAGTGCTACATAGGGGGAAAAAAAAAAAACCCACACCCCAGAAAAAAAAATACTGAAGGCTTGAAAAATTATGTTTACAGTTTTGGTTTTGAAGCCTTGCAGACAGCATCTCATGAAAACTGTCTGAATACTTGCATCAAGTATTTCAATAGTTTTTCAGTAAGAATTTAATGTGAAGTTATGCTGTAATTATAAGTCAACACATCTTTGAATTCCCTATTTAGAGACAAAGCTTGAATTTAAATGGATCTTAAAGGACCATCTGAGATTTTGCCTGACATGGAGGAGTCCTCTAGTGTAAAGGGATATTGTTTTCTGTTCCTTCCTGCCTCCTAAATAACGGTGCAGAGGACACTGCCAGACTGTTATGGCATTTGGGCATTGTCTGCTGCCCCCATCATATTTACTAATAGAGATTTGTATTCATAATTTAGCTGATGATTCATTTGCCCGTACATAGCTGAATACTTGTAGCTCATTTGGCAGTACGTGTGTTGGCATAGCAGTCATTGTGGAAGCAAAATGTATGTGTTTGTATTTGGATCTTGTGGCAGATGTCTAATATAAAGGGGCTACCACTTTGGCATGGGCACTTTCCTGGCTCTGCCCGCATTTTAAGTGTCCCTGGTTATGATCTGTGATCGTGGCTAATATTGATGTTTATCTGCCTTTTCAGAATGAAAATAGCACCGTTCTGTTTTCCTTTTTCTGTTCTTGTGATGTTGCAAAGATAGTGCAGCATGGTACAAACACTGTGGAAACAGAACTTTATAATATACTTTTTCTCAACTGCCATATTGGTTCTGAAAACAATTTGTAACCTATCTGTCTCCATTTGGCAACTGAAAAGCAGGGGTTTGCAACCAAAGCTTTAGAACGTGCAGGTGACTCAATTTCTGTGTGGAGTCAAGTATGTTGAAATTATTCTACGTGGGTAAGTACGTAGGGAACAAAAAAGGTAAAGATAAGAGGAAATACATACTTGCTCCCCCCCCCCCCCCCCCGGACATGGTTTAGTGGGCATGGTGGTGTTGGGTTGACGGTTGGACTCGATGATCTTAGAGGTCTTTTCCAACCTCAATGATTCTATGATTCTATTCTATTCTATAGTTTGCCCTCAAAACAGGGTTTAACTACTCTTTTTGGTAAGTTAATTTGCTGAATAAAATTCCTGCTTCTAAAGAAGAAGCAGTTTCTCTTCATTTCTCATTTACAGGATAACGTTTTCCTGAGAAATTTAAACCAGCCTCTTTCATTTCTACATTTTTGTCAATATTAAAGCTACAGCATCAAACAGTTATGAGTATTGGGATGCTGTGTCTCAGTTTTAGCTAGTCTTCTCCCTTTGTGCAGGCAGAGGAGAATGAATACACGAGGAAGTCTGGGGACAGAAGGGCCTGGAAGGGAGGAGAAGCGGCAGTAACTTCACTGCTTGTTTCTCTTTACCTTGCACAAATGTGGCCATGCAAACACCACACATTAAACAAACACACTAAAAATTGCTAAAATAAAATTTGATAATGGGGATATTGAGCTGTCTTTGTAAGTTAAATTCTGGCTGTGGTTAATTAAGTAAAAATGCTGCTCCAACCATGTTATCTTGGGTGCCTTATTATTAAATGAAGGGAAAACGCAGGAGGAAATAAAACTCTCTTGCTTCTTTACTTGCTGGAGCATTTATTTCCCCTTGTCCATATGTGTATTGTGAGAACACCAAGCATAACAAATAATGATTGCATTTAGTTCTGAATACAGTGAGGTCCACGATCACTCTTACCTCTGTGAAAGCAAGCTCCAAAGCCTGTCTGGCTGCCCAAAGAGTTCGCATTTCTGCACATGTGATGGATGGGTTCGTTGTTCTAATGAAGCATGGCTGCTGTTGGAGGTCATGGTCACAGAAGAAGAGATGCAAGCCATCTTTAATGAAGGGCAGTTCTATGGAGGCCTTGAATGCCAAGGCAGAGATGTAGCATTTTATTTTTTATTTTATGTAGAGGGCCAGTGCAGGGACAGTACCTTGTTTTACAAGTTGTTTTTTTTAATTAGAAAGAAGGTGGGAGCTGTATCCTGTACAAACTTTAACCATTTTAGATGTTTTGGCTTAGTTCCCAAGTGTAATGAATCTGGAGGTTGCAAATGCATGTATTTCTATGGCCAGATCTCTGATCAGATAGGGAAATCAAACCTCTGGCCATGCACAGATGGTGTTAGACTTGCGTGTATTTTAAGTATCTCTGAAGATCAGGAGCTTGTGTTGGGGCAGAATTTGAAGGTGGATCTTCTCATTGACCAGGCAAATTCTATAACTTGTGTTCCCTCCTTTTTCTTTTCTAGACTGCTTATAGGCATTTGAGGTTGGTTGTGACGAGGGTAACTGAACCCTTTTCATTCAGATCAAGAAGAAGTAAATTAAGAATAACAACTTTTCTTCACTGAACTAGTCATAGTGGGACTATTGCACCGTGGATGTAGAACTAAACACATTACCAGTCTCCTTACACATCTGGTTTGTTGTAACATTGGTTGTATTTAAGGTCTAAAAGTGAGAATGTTTTCTCATGGTGGATTTATTTGATATTTTAATTGATTAGCCTAAAGACTGTGTCTGAATACTGCATATGTGGCTGATGTCTGTTTGAGGAGAACGTAAAACGCTTTCTCTAAGCATGAAGAATGCTAATTATCTTTTTCCCCTTTGCTTCTACTCTTAGGCCTGTGGGAGACAGATGTTACTTAGCAAAGGCAGGAATGAACATAACTTCTTCTGGGCTCAGAAGAAGTTAAAACGTGGAACACATCTGCTATGGTTCACTGACATTTCTGTTCTTAGATTTGTTCTTTGAACAAACTTCTCTGAAAGGTGGCAGGAATCACCAGCATTGTCGGTACAGAATCGAAACTAGGAAAGAGCTGTGTGTTCACCAGAAAATTGGAAGTTTGACTCATGCTTAGACTTTGAAAACCAGAATATATTGTATACCTATGCACTGAACACAACATTCAGGAGTAAAATATGTAATGTGATCACAATTTTGTCTTTCTTGGTCTTTCTTGTTTCATTTGTTTAAGGCTTTTTTGGTTTGACAGTTTCAGAAAGTTACAGATTTAAGTATGTAAGGTAATGCAAGTGCAGGGCTAGTTACAAATGTGCTTCCTTTTTGATTTGAAAAGTTTGGCTGTTGACCGCTTTTCAGCCCTATTCTTGTACTGTGTTCATCATTCTGGTATCTGAACAAACAGCACATAAACTCATTTAGAGGAAAGGAGGGTTTGCATGTACCAATATTTAGTTTATTTGAGGGATTTCTTTTAAAAAAAAAATTCTTAAAAGCAAACGTTTTTGCTATATTCTTGTTTGTCTTGCAGGCTGATCCAGCTTTGAAAGAAAAATTAAAACAGAACACTGTGACACTGGAATCTGAATATGAGGTAAAATAAGTTTGTCGCTTGGGGCTCATAGCCTTGGCTACCCTTGATTACCCTGGCTGCTGGTGGGTTGTATCTGTCCCTAACTAAAATTAGATCAGCCATCTGCCTTTGACTCACTGATGTCCAATAAAAACAAGGTTTTATGTAAAGAAAGGTTTTTGAACATGCAGTGCTTCTTTCTGAACACAGCTTTACTTTGATGTCCAGGTGCCAAGTACAGTGGTACAAATAAATTCCACTATTTCTGTGGTTAACCTAGTCTATAAATGTAGAGCTGATGTTGGCCTTAGATGGAATGTGTATATGTATATGTCAACACTTCTACTACATAGGTTTTGATGATCTTTAGACCAAATTACAGAACAATGTGCTTGATGTGCTTTCTGTTATTTCTTTCTTCTGAAATTTATGTGTATCTTTCAAACAACTGCTGTTCCTTTTTCACTATTTCAGAAAATTTTATAGAGAAATATTTAATTCTTTCCTCAACAATGTATTTTCTCCAAACATTACTGAGCTCCAAAATGGCTGTTTTGGCCAGTTTAATATCCTAACATGCAAAAAGCCATGTTAGGAAAACTGGAAAAAGCCTCCCTGTATCCAGAAACAAAGGATAAACCTATTTAAGATAACTTCTAATGTTTTAAAATTACTTGGATCAAATGCACAGCTGACACTTTATCTAGCTCTGTGGTCTTTATGCTGAACACAGGTTTTCTTTTTCTTCCCATACCATATTCCTGACACAAGCCTTTGAAGAGCTTGATTGCACCCATAGCTCTCATACTTAGGTGTCCAAATGGCAGTACATGGTCTTACTAATAAAACCTTTCTATTATATTACTCTTTTGTGGTTTGTCTGAAATAAAAATAAAACTCACCTTTTGTATTTTTACATGCCTAATTTCACAGAACATCTGCCTACGTGCCAGGTTTGTGATAGCATTTTACCATTATTGCAAACAGTTTTGGGCCATCCCCCTTCTACAAGAACTGTGTTTTATGGTCTAAAAAAGATTTGATCCCTGAGTACATATGGAAAGCTCCAATGGAATCTCAAATCATCAAATCCATTAAGTTCTGATTGCCTCTGGGATTATTGTGTATCTCACTTTCCATAGAATATACTGCAAGGCTGCTCTGATTTATTTATGTGGAAGAACCATAAGCAGTAAAAAGAACCACATCTTCTCTGTTTAACTCACTACCTAACCTCAACATCAACTGATCAGTATTCAGATATGCCTTGCTTTCTCTCCAGAAGATAAGTAAATAGTTGAAGGATAATATTTAAATGGCCATAATTGCATTAGCTTTATGGATAAATCAATGGTAATAAAATACAACTGGCATAACAACATATTACAAGCCTGTTTGGGTAATGAGGCTCCTTCCTGACCGGTAGAAATGACAGAAGCAATCTTACTTTTTCTTAATCTAAACTGCAGAGAGTTCCCCAGCCGAAATTCTTCCAAAGTAGTGTTTGGGTGTTATAGAGGGCAGACCAGTTCAACAAAACAAATGGATTTGCATTTCCACATAGTGAAAAAAGATTCAGATTATTGTTTTGAACTCTAATCTCAATGTATACTTTACTACCGGCACCAACTTGCAAGCACTAGGCATATTGATTTCTTGCTTCAGTGAAACTTATGGAACTACCAGCAGTCATGCACATCCTTCGCAGGCTCTGCGCTGTGCGTGTGACAATTTTAGTCAATGTTACCTCTATATTCTGGTGGACAAAATCTAACCAATCACTGAGTTACAGCTGACATTTAGGAGAGTAGTTTTCTGTGGACCCCATGTGTTCTAGGCTAGGGTGGTTTTGGTGAGGTTTTTTCCCCTTTCTTTATTTTTTACTTGTCCAAAGTACAGCTCTTAAGAACATCTTCTAATTCTATATATAGGTCACATTGGAGGATTACACTGGTGGCTGTTACTAAATATGGTACGATAAGAGATCAAGGGCAGTTAAAAAAAAAGTTGCTGTTTTGATATGTAAAGCCTTATTTTACAATATTATTAGCACTGTATCTGCAGCTGTTACTGAGGATACCAAGCCAGCTTTTTTGAAGCATGGGTGCCTGATGCATGCAAATGTCTATTGGCCCTCCCTAAGACTTTAAAAAATATCTTACTGTCCTTACAGAAATGTACATATTGAATACATACTGAATTCTTTTAGAATGTCGTAATTTCTGCTATAAGCATACACCTTTATGGGCATATTGCAAAAGATAAAGACATTTCTGATATTTCAAACATGTTGAAGTCTGCATTTTGTCTCCAGTGTGGTGGTGGTGATGAAAAAGGTTGTAATCAAAGATTTAATCAATTTACTGTGAGGAAATTAACATGAAGACATTTTCTCACCTTCTAATTTACTAAATTATATCTTCTCAAACTATAGAAAATTTACTTTATTTCATATAGGAGTATTTCTGGCCAGGATACTATTTTGAGGACGAAAGAATTCGCATGTGTAATTTGTACTGCATTTCTTGTATCTCAGATCTGTTAGTAACAACATTTATCTTGTGCCTTGGGACATGCCAGAGGAGCAAGCTACCTTTGTATGTATTCTCCATTGTTTATGCATTCCTCTCACACACTTACATGTCCTCATATGGCCAGTTAGTCCTTGCTGTTCCCCTTTGCCTAATAAATCATGGCTCTGTCCACTAGTGACACCGGTACTAATGTGAATGTAGTTCTGCTGCTGAGCTGGGCCTTGTAGAACACACTGTAAAAAATGTCGAGTGTTTGACCTGTGACAAAAGCCTAGAGTATTTGATTTGAAAGCACAAAAATATTGTTTGAAAGAGGGGGATAAAAAACTGATTAATGCGATGAGTGAAAAACATTCTCATGGATGTTTAACAATCACAGTACGTTACTTTTCATTGGCTTAAATGCAATCTCAAAATAACATTCCTTATTCTAGCACTTGGTTTCAGTACTTTTGTGAAATTAATGGTCTAGTACATACTAAAAAATCTGGCCTCAGTCAGTTACATTAGACCCCAAAATAAGGAATTGTTGTTTAGGGTTTTTCAAGCAAATAAAAACATCTTTAAGAAGAATTTATTAACATTTTACAATGGGAAAATCAGTTAAGTTTGAATCAAATATGTGCTATCCAGTGGGAACTAATGGCAATTGAAGGCAGAGGAAAAAAATATCACAATAAATAAAAAATGTGAAGGATTGCTATGGAAACAGTGAATGAGAAGTTATGAAGCAGAGAAGATTGATAAAAGACGCTAAGGACATCAGAGAGTTGTCTGATAAGTAAGCTGACAAGGATGTGGGTAAGAGAATGGTGTTGCAGCAAACTAAGAATAAAATAATGAGGATGTAAAATCGTGAGTAACCACATTGGCGAAGTAGCAACATTCAAAAAATGTATTTGTATTTCTTTTAGAGAAAACAGTCCTTTGTATTCAAATCAGAAGAGACAAGGGATGTAGTCCCAAACCCCTGATAACCAAACAAGATGTTATTAGTATCTATTAAGCTCTGATGGTTTATAGCTGAGTTCCAAGAAAATGCTTGGAAGACTTCAGTGGCTGCTGAAAATCTCAATCTGGGAATGATGGTTCTCTGGGAATCATCACTGGGCAGGAAGGTGATATTTTTAAGTGTTCTGTGAGATTTGGGACGTATCTGGGCAATATTGAATACTTTTTTCAGTGATATGGAAGAAATTGTAAAATCACTACTGATGTGCAAGTTGCACATCAGTATTCAGAAAGTATTGAAATAGTAAAAGTATGGCAAGGCAGGGACAGAGAGCTGTTCCTACTACTTGGTAATCTGGGCCCATTAAATGAGCAAAGTACCTTTTAAAATAGCCAAAGTTATTTGTTTAAAAAACTGGAAATGCAGGCCGGAGTGGACTGCATTATGGAAAGCAGCAACTCTGGAAAAGATTTAGGAGTCAGTGAATAAATAATTCAGACTGATCTTCTACTGCGATGCTGTGGCACAAAGAGCTAATTCAGTCTTTATGAATATAAACAGGAATGATGGTAGGAAGAGGGGATTTTACTTCTAAGTGTGGCACTGATGAGGCTAGTACTGAAATGCTGGATCTACTTCTGGTGTCCACATTTTGAACAGGGCTTTAAAAATGGGATAGGTTGCAGAACAGGCTGAATATATTAACTTAGGGCTCGAGAAAATGCCTTAAAAGAAACTTAAAGATTTAAATCTTTTAAAGGTACCAAAAAGAATGTTAGTTATGTATAAATACCTTCATAAGAAGAAAGTGCTAGCTATTGAAGATTTTTTTTTTTAATTGCAGCAAAGATTCTAAAATTAGAAGTAAGGTCTATTATTAATAGATGGGGACATCATTTGAACGCAACAGCAAGAAAAAGGGGTTCTCTGTCTCTCAGAATATCAAAACTGTAATAAAGTTTTCCTTCAAATGGTTGCAAGCTATTGGACTCAGCATGGGATAAGTGAGGGAATATGCTGGTCTGCGAATAGTCAGTCTAGAGAATGCTGCTTGCCTGGCTTAAAGTATATGAATATTGAGCAGTTTTTGTTCCTCATAATTTGATAAACAACAAAAGGTCAACATTAGCTCTGGACAAAAGTTGTGTAACTGTTTGTCCTGAGAATTACAGCAAAAGTGTTGTAATTGCAGTATTAAAATGTTTATTCAGGACAGTTCAAAAAGTAAAATCAGCTATATGGAGGGGTGGCTTGGGAATATAACCTGTATATTTATTGTCTTAAGAGTAAAGAAGAATTTGAATAAGCTCTTCTAAAAAAGATTCAAGCCACTTAATGCTCGTTTGACTTAACTTTGGGGATTGTAGTGCCAGCAGGATGGATGAAATATTTTTTCAGGAAGGGACAGTGTAGTAACATAGTCATTTATAGTATTAAATAGATGCATCGAAGTGTGTGGACATGAGGGCTACTCTAGAAGGAAGGTGATTCCTGAATGCCAGTAGTTGAAATCTGCAAGTATCTTGTTGCTGCCA